GTCCCCTCCTCAAGGCCAGGGTATAGCCTACTGGTGGTTCAGGAGTCCGTCGCCTGACTCCAGAGCCACCACTTTGATAAACATAGTTTGCAAGACAGACAAAAGGAATGTGTATCCAAAGCAGAAAGGCGTGGCTGATGGCCTGAGACGGATCAACATCTTGACAGTAAGCTGCCCAAAATCTACAGGATCCCTTCTGCTCTCCTGATGAACTTCTCAGTGTTCATCAAAGCTCCCTGGGAAATGAGGCCTTAGGAAGGTGCAGGGCTTTGGGGGCATGGCATTGATACGGTTTTTACTCTAGGACCTTCAGTTCAACAAAAAACAAGCCCCAGGCTACCTTTAGCTTCAGCTTGTTTTCTCAGCAAGGGTGTGGATGAGGTGGGTGTGGCCAGGGGTCCAAGTTTCACCTCCCATCTCTACATTCCAATGCCACTCCCCAAGGTAAACTTCTCTCATTTCCCCAGGACTCAGTTTCTCAGAAACTGTGGCGGTGACTCTATATAGGGCCTCCTAACGGAATGTGAGCACCAGAGTCATACAAACAAATGTGATGGTTGTGGAAAATATGGTAAGATGTTTGCCAACATGCAATGATCAAAGATTAGTCCAAAATCAGATGTGTTATGAACCAAGGTACTTTGGACGTCATATGGCATCACCACGGCTCCTGTTCTGCACACATAGCATCACACTTTGCAACGTCTGAAGCTGATGCCCCATGAAATACTGGTAAACACTGCTTGCCACACCTTGGCTCACATTTGCAATGTCATACATTACAGTGCTCTTCTTTTAAATGGCTTTATGTATATGGGTGTTTTGCCCATGGATATGTACATGTACATGTACCATGGACCTGCTGGTGCCCTCCAGAGGCTGGAGTTAGAGAAGGTTGTGAGCAGCCATGTAGGTGCTAGGCATCAAGGTGACTGTCACCTTTGGCAAGGGTGAAGTCTGGCTGCATGCCCTCCTTGCTAATATGAGAGTACAGACCCGGTTCAATGGGTTCCCCACCTGGCACCCTACAGAGAGGGGCCCAGAGCTGGGACTCTGAAGGGTGTGGGAGGGTTGCTGAGTGGCAGGCTCTGAATGAGACCCAGGGCAGTCATTCTTCTATGTCCTTGCCGGAATTCTGTCCCAATCCAAATCAAAATGCATTTAATGATTTTTTAATGAACCAGTCAGTAACTCAAACAGCAATATTTAAAAGCAAGCACTCCTTCTCTGCACATTCCACGGTGCCTCCAGCTGTATTTTCTTTGCCCAAACTGGCGAATGCTGCTGCTGAACAGCTGAAAGACAGCACCTAGCAACATCCAGCTGAGGGCCCAGAGCCTTGGCCTTTTTCTGCTTATTTTTTTTTTTCATCAATTTCACCTTTGCCTTCTGGCGAGTTCTCCAAGGTCACAGTGAGTCAAACAGTACAGCCAGAAATAAAATTCAGATCAGCTGGCTCCCAAATTGGTACCTGATCTAAGTGGAGGGAGCAGGTTTGCCGCGGATTCTCTGAGAGCCTTAATCAAGTGTAGCTTCTAAAGCCTGCTGCTTCCCTGGTATTTAGGAGACAATGCAGCGTAATAAGACCCACAGGAAAAGGTATTTTTAAAAAGGGATGGAAAAATACAAGGCGAGCCATCTGGATTTATAATTAACACAGCAAAGCGAGCTGAATTCAGTTCTGGACTGGGACTCTGCTAAGCTACATCACACAGTGGAGTCAGCATCCGCCAATGAAGAAGCAAGCAGCCTGCTGTCTGATGGCTCAGTAGAGGGCACAGCAAAGCTAGAAAGCTGCAGGAAATATTGATGTCTTTGGCATAAAACCCATGTTCTTCTCTCAGGAGAAGCCCCTTGGAAATGAGCAAGACCAGTGCTAAATTCCAAGTTACATGGCTGCACGGCGAGAGTTAACTGGAAGCCAAGTCCCTGTAGCCTGCAGCGCTGAAGAGAGGGAGCCAGGCAATTAAAGAGGAGAAAAAGGACAGGAAACTTAGATCAGTCACAGGCAGAACCTGCTGCCTGGTGTTGGGAACATCTTAGGCACTTCCTTCCTGGGATGGAGCAGGCCCAGGTCTGTAAGGGAAAGGGCAGAGTAGAGAGGGAGACTGCCTAGACTCCCAGGAGTTCTCCGTCCTTCCATCACATGGGGCGAGAAGGGAAACTACCCTGGGAAAAAGTAAAGATACAAGCTATCCAGTGGATCCTTCCTTAGGATTCAGGGCTTGGCCCTCCCTGTGATTCTTACCCGCAGTAAACCTGAAGCTCTCAGATCATGGTCTACTTAATTTCTTTGGTATGTCCAGGTCTTCACCTGTTGCCCCAAGTGACATCAGAAAATTGTCTGGGTGGGGGAAGCGGCGTGGCCTATGTATCACCGAGACTCTTAGGGTGTATCGCGTGAAGAAATCTTTTCAAAAGAAGGGTCGCAAACAAGTGACAGCGGAGCTGGACTGTGGCTCAGTGGCCAAGAGCTCTTGTCACTTTTCTCGAGGACCCGAGCTCAGCTCCCAGCACCCACACCAGGTGGTGCATCACCCCTGTAACAACTTCAACTCCAGGGGACCCTAATGCCCTCCTCTGAGGAGACCTGAATACACAAGGCATTTATTTCAACATAGATATAAATAAAAGGAAACATTAAAAGTTTAACACACACAGACACATCATCCTGCTAAAGTTCCCCACCAAAACCATTTCAGACATGATGGCTGATACCTCTAGTCTATTTACTACAGAGGCTGAGGCAGGAGGATTTCTTGAGGCCAGTCTGGACAAGACAATGAGACTCCAAGAACATTTGCTTGCTTTCTCTCTCCTCCATACTTCCCTTACTGACCTGGACTTACTACACCCAGGAAGGAAGTGCCTATGGGGTTTCCAACACCAGGCAGCAGGTTCTGCCTGTGACTGATCTAAGTTTCCTGTCCTTTTTCTCCTCTTTAATTGCCTGGCTCCCTCTCTTCAGCGCTGTAGGCTACAGGAACTTGGCTTCCAGTTAACTCTCACTGTGCAGTCATGTAACTTGGAATTTAGCAAACTCTTTTTGCTGTCTTTCATGACCTTTTATATTTCCTCTCTTTCTGAAGATACAATTTCACTAAGATATTAATTATCTCTCATCTTAAGCAAAAGCATTTGGGTGTGCATGCATTTTTGTGTGTGTGCATCTGAAGGTGTGCATGTGTGTCCGTGTGCATATGCATGCATGTGGAAGCCTGCCAGAGGTAGACTTAAGGTGTCTTTATCAGTTTCCCCCTTATTCTTTAAGGCAGGGCCTCTCATTGAACCTAAAGCTCACTGACTCAGCAGAAGCAGCTGACCTATGTCAGGACCAATGGAAACTCCATTTCCCCAAATTGTGGCAGTTAGACAAAAGCCAGCATTCCTCAGGGAACTTGTGAAGCTGGAACCATATCCCTTATCACTGGCAAAGGGACACATGGCTACAGTGGTGCCTATTAGCATACCAAAGCACATGCTGACCTCCAGGTTTCCTCAGCATCACTTCTCCAGGCCAGCTACTCATTCTCCTGCAGCACCGCTGCTCCCACTCTGCTCCCTCGTCTGCCCTCACTGTCCTCACCTCTCACCCTCCCTCAATCCCCTCTCTGTCGCTGCTCTGCTCCTGCTTCTCCTATGGCCAGGCCCTGTCTGCTGGCCAAGTGCAGTCCACGACTTTCTCTGCTCTGGACTCTTCCAGATGTCTCTGGCTGTTCTCTCCCTCAGATCTACAATAAAAACTTTCCCCTTAACCATACCATGGAGCGGTCACATCAGTTTACAGGACCAGCAAATCCCAGGGACGCTCTGTCTCCACTTCCTCGGCACTGGGATGCAGGCATGTGCACCATGCCTGGCTTTTCACTCGGGTTCTAGGAGTCTGGACTCAGGTCTCCCTGAGTGAATGACAAGCGCATTCCCAACTGAATCATCTCACCAGGTCCCAAAAAGACTTTTTAAACATTTGTTTTTATTGTTATTGTGTGTGTGTGCATGAGTGTGCCTGTATATGTGAGTGTGTGTGTGTGGGGGGGGGTTATGAACACAAAAGTACAGATGCCTGTGGATTCCAGAGACACTGGATTGCTCTGGAGCTGGAGTTACAGTGGCTGTGAGCAGCCATGTGGGTGCTATGAACAAAACTCAGGTCTTCTAGAAGAGCAGTAGGCACTCTTAACCACTAAGACATCTCTCCAAGCTCCTGAAAGCTATTTTTTAGCAATAATAAAAAGCAGGCTGGGCATGGTGGCATATCCTGTAACCTGAAGACTGTGAGTTAGCTAACTCGCCTGGGCTGTGTACAAAGTTTGAGGCCATATGGACTATGTAGTAAGACATTATCTTAAAATAAATAATGAAATAAAGATGACTAAACAAGATCCCCTTCCGCCAAGGAGGGAAGGAAATTGGGGAAGCATGCCACAGGGACAGTGGATGATCACTTCTCAGGTGACTCTCAGATGACCCTCCAAACATTCAAGAAGACTCAACAGCCTAGCTGAGCCAGGGAAAGGCCACATGAAGATGGCTTGCTTTCTGCCAACCAAAGGTCAGCTGAACTGCTGTCACATGCTGCTCTCTACCAGCTGAGCGTTCAGACAGGAAGAGCCACAGCTGTAGGCGGGGTCCATCCTGCTGCCCGTTGTCTGTTAGCAAGGCATCACAGACAGCTGTGAGCGCTAGTGAGCGGCAGTACTTGGCACACCCCCAGAACTTACCCTCTGGGTCAGTACCCTTAAGGGAAGGGCGATGAGGTCACCAGGCCTTGATCTGTTCATAATTCCTAATGGGCCAGAGGACGTGATTTCATCCTCAGGTTATTTCATCGGCCATTGTTCAAAACAACCTAAACTAAGACCAAGAGGTGTCCCTGGACAGGGTCCATGGCAGATACGAGCACCAAAATCCAAGCGAGACTATGAAGCTTGAGAGGAAAATCCCAGTCGGATCTGAGACCCAGGAATCAGAAATACACACAGCACACACAAGCAGCCAAGTCCAGATACAGAAAACTTTAATCAACAATTGTGGAAACAATACACTCGAGACATTAAATACCAGAATTCTCCATTGTCACTGCCCCCACCACCAGTCTAGAAATAAAATGATCCACTAATCTCAACTGTTCCTGGTGGAAGATAAAAGATTTAGGAAAATGTTTTCCATAAACACAATTCTTTTACCCCAAATCTAGACTCCACACAGGGAAAAGACAAGTTTGCACTCAATGGGATTTATTCAGCCACCTTTGTAACACAGCTCATCTCTATGTAATTGGCTTCCCTTACTCTCCTCTCCCATTGGACTCAATGAGCAGAGGAAACAATGCTCTACTATACATTTATCAGACAAAACAAGTAAAAGTTTAACATGAGTGAATTCTATGTTATTATATTAAAACATGTATCAAAATCACATCTTTCCTGTAAAAGGGGCTGGCAGTCCAGCAGCAATGCAGTGCTGCCTGATGGCCACCCTGGGACATATCCTGCCTTCCTCATGCAAACCAACGAAGGAGACCGATGGTACAGACTGCCTGTTTTCTCAGTCACCTTGACACGGATACACAAGTCTAAAAGGAAACAACCCCAACTACAACAGTCATTCAAGTATTGAGAGATGTGTGCATGGACAACGGGGGAGACTGCCTAGAAAGAAGAGGGGCTCCAATACTTCGCATGAACTTAGCTAGCAGAGATTGTTGGATCCTGCATGCCGAATGCCTCTAACAACGGTTCTGGTGAGCAGGTAGATGGTATAGCTAATTCGCCCGCAGGCACTGCTGCAGTGACCACTGATGGCTTTAAAATGCGTCCTTTCTGTCCTTCCTTAAGCCAATAGTGGACCTACACATTGGAGCCAGGAAGTCATTACTGCCAGAGAGTTCCCAAAGGACTGTGCATACAGTTTCCTGTGTGCTATTTATGTACCCACTGTACTGTTACACATATTCAGCGTTATAAGGAAAATCTGGCGATAGACCAAGCTGAATCGCCATCCCCAATCATATGCTATACATGTATTCATTCTTTCTAGGTGCTTCCCAACTCAAATGGTAGAGGAGAAGAATATGGGCATGGGCTCTGGACGCTAAATTGTGCTCTCGTTCTCTCAGCCAAAGCTGGATGGAATAGCAGACAAAGCGCAGTGGTAAGAGTTAGGAAAAGGTTCTGGGTGAACGGCTTGGGGAGTGATCTTTCCCATGGGGAACCATGGGAAAAGCAATGGGAAGATAATCAGACAGGTAGCTCCTTGTCTAATAGTTAAACACCTAGACAGCACCACGCCTGGGTGTTGTCTTACCTCTGCTAGAAGACCAGTGAGCAGGAAGCTGGTGCTGTCCACTTCATCTTCAGGACAGCAAAGCAGGAAAGCAGAGAGGCACACAGAGCCATGAGCACAACTCTAAGTGGGACGGCTGCTCAGGTGTTGGAAACTGTCAGTCACTACTCTAAAGAGACCAGACTTCTTTCCAGCATCCCATGCTCTCCATAAGCATTCAAAACAGAGATACCCAACTGCTAAGACATGTGAATTTTAGGGTTACCACGGAACAGCTATAGGTGTGTGTTTGGGGGGGGGCATGGACAGACACAGATAAAGCGTCTTAGGAATGATCACTGCAGGGCCTGGAAAATGAAGAGAAGATAAACATTTTGGGAGCAGGGACCACAGAGCAATGGGGGCTGAACTGTGAGCTAGTGACCACTGGCAGCCGTGGTCAGCTCACCTGTGGGAGGTAGGTGAGAATGGTATGAACTGCAGCCCGCCTTCCTACAGCAGTGGGAAGCAGGCTCTGTCTTGGTCTCTCTTCTGCTAGCTCGTCTGCCGGCATGGCAGACAGTGTCTTTGTTTCTTTCTTCTTGGAGCACTAGGGGCTGCTTCAGGGTTTTAAATGCCTCCCCCCTTCAGAAGACCAACAAAGGGACATGCTCATTTGACAGACAATAATGTCAAAACTCAAGGGCCAGTTCTCCAAATGGGGAACACAAACTATAATCATCTGACCCGATCACAAACATGTCAACTTTAAAGACCACCTGGCTTCGGTAATGAGACTCAACCCATTTGATTTTTAAGTGGCATCTCTCATTGCTGTATGTTAAAATGGCAACGGTATTGGTCTTTAACAAAACTGTAACTGACAGAAGCAGAGTGACATATAACCAACCTGACAGCTGGAACTTCTTTATATATGGAGCCGCATTCTTTCCTGCATCTGTTTCACAAGTATCCAATATTTATATTTAGCGGCTAGAAGACAGGGGGCCAAATCCGCCTGCAACGAGAGAGCAAAGCTTTGACCAGTGCCAGGAAAGCGGGGTCAGTGAAAGTCTATCAAGTACTCGGGGTAGATCTGGTTGGCATCAAACACCACAAAGATCTTTGGGTTCCAAGTGTCATCCACACAGCTGTCATACAGATTCACGTAGCTCCCGTCTTTGGAAGGAGGTCGCATGTATTTGGAGTCTCCGTTTATGTAATCCCCAATTAGTACTCGAGCAAGAAACATGGATTTATAGGTTCTGAACAGATGTCGCTGCTGCACGCTGACCCCGTGAATCTGGAATGTGTTACCATGCTTGATGTCATCTTTGCAGAAACGACTGGAGTATGCAGCATCTCTAGCAAAATAGGTTCCTGCAACAGAAAGGGCCAAAGTTACTTGGGAGAAAAGACGAAATGCAGGAACAACATTCTGACAGGAGAACAGACACGAGTCACACCACAGATGTGGGACCTCCTCCTCTGCACACCTAAAGAACAGGACACAATTCCCACCCTCACCACATGGAGGCAACTATGGGTGTACCAGGCCTTACTAGTGCCCTCATGTGCCTTGGATAAACTAAGTGCCACACTTGTGTTTCCAAGGGAGTTTGCAAGGAAATCCAATAAACAAAATACAAACCATCCCATGGTGAGAAGTGCGGCAGGTCTGGATTTCACTGGAGGTCATTCTTCCCGCTGTGCCATTCCTCAGCCTGTGCCTGCAGCCCTCACCCAGCAGTAGCCTAACTCTGCAGAATTCTGCTCTACCTGAGGAGCTCACACTCAAGAAGCTGCGGCTATGACATGGGACAATTCAGAAGGAACTCTAGAAGTGGGAGCCTCAGCCAGGAATAAAATTCTGAGACTGTACAAAGCTGTTCCTGGGCTCTTCGGTCTCCCTGGGCTCTTCAGTCTTCTGGGAGCTTGGTGCTAAAGAGAGGTGTGGGGACTTAGAGATGAGATGCCCTTAGAGGGAAGTGAGGAACCGCAGGCCTTCCTCATACTTTTCATGTTCTAGCTGCCAGAAGAGGCCAGTTCACTTTATATGACATACTCTGCCATGATGGTCAGACTCAAAATAGGTTCCGCAGTGCCAATGTAGCATAGGCTGAAACGTCTGAAGTTGTGAGTCTGAGTGAATCCTTCTTCTTCTGAAGCTGTCTTGGGGTTTTGCTATATAGTAAGAGGAAACTAGCGAGCACATTGTTCCTGCCTGAGCATTCCAGAACACTGCCAGTTATTGTCATGAACACTCAGTAAGACAGTCAACTCTCTGAAAATGATTGACACAATCAATCAAGTACCTACTTCTAAGAAATTGGGACATAAACGGCAAAGTCGCATAACCGGCTAATATTGATAGAACTGGTGTCAGACTTTTCTGAGCTCTCACAACTGAAGTGAGCAGCTTCTACGGTAACTGTCCTTAAATTCATTCACTGCTTCAAAATCAGCTCCTCCCAATCTCAAATACCTGCCTGCCCCTTATCCTCCTCGGCTCTCTCCCTAGCTGCTTGAGGCATGCCACAGAGAACCAGGACATATACAGCAGCAAAAATAAGGGGGAGTTTTGCCCACTTCCCCCCTTCAGTGCATGCTGATATTCTTACCTATTATTTTCTAAAGCAAAACAACCACACACCAAATCCACTAGTTACGATACTGGAGTGTAATTAACATGTTCCTATCACTCTGTGATTCTGCTATGGAGCAGTTCCCTGTGAAGGGTCATCCATGGGGAAGGCTGACTCAGACACCACAGATACTGCAAGGCTTCTCTAACATAGAGCCCCCTATCAGGATGACGGAAACCCAGGGATCTGTTGAATATGGGAGATGTGCAAGTCTCGCTTTCACCCTGTCTGAAGCCTATAGTCTGGTAACTTTTAGTTTCATCACGCCCAACTCTGAATCAGAAAGCAACTGATGTTCCCTAAAGAGCGGGCACTCACTCCTGTGACTGAAACTGGACCTGAGATTCAGATGTTACCTTTTCCAAAGACAGCACCGTGTACACCATTGATTCTCCAGTCAAAGTTGTGAATGCAAATTGCTTCCACAAACTCGCTGCTGGTGCCATGGAACAGCATTTGCTCATTGATCTGGGGGACACCTCTCTTCTTCTTAAGCTGAGCCTTCTTCCTATAATCACAAAACATCCAGATACAAAACCACAGACAAATACACTACTGAGTGCTATTTATTAATTTAAACAGTTAAAAGGCAAAGTTCAAAAGAAAAGGTGAGACAACAATATAAATCATATAATGTAAATGAGTAGACAGAACAATTCTAGCAAAGAAATTGCTTCAAATGCTCTTGGACACATAAAAATCATATGACAGTGATCAGTTGGGTATGGGACTTAATGCCTGTAATCCCAATGTACAGGAGACAGAGAGACACAGCTGGCTGGGCAATGGTGATGCAGTCTTTAAGCCTACTGCTTGGGAGGCAGAGGCTGGGAGAGCTCAGTGAGTTCAAGGTCAGCATGTCAGCATGGTCTACAGAGCGAGTACCAGGACAGGCTCTGGGAAACCCTGCCTCGAAAAAAAACAAAACAAAACCAAAAACAAACAAAAAAGATCAAGAGTCAGAGACAAAAAGGATCAAGAATTCAAGGCTATCCTAGGCTAAAAAAAAAATTGAGGTTAGCTCAGGTTTCAGGAAACTGTTTCAAAAAACAAACAAACAAAAAGAACAAACCAAACAGTATAGCTAGCATTGAGCCTGAAGGCTGAAAGCATATACCAAAAGACTGGGCAGATAGCTCCGTGGTACAGCGCTTGTCTGACATGTGGGAGAGCCTGGGCTCCATCCTCAGCACTGTGGAACAGAGAGGACGGGGAAACTGATCGTCTAAAGCAGCTAAGCAGTCCAGAGAGATGCAAATGAAACTATAAACAGGTAATACAAAGTTCTTAGATATTCAGACAAAGAATTCTGTCTTTGAGCTGGAAAAACATTTTATTCTCTCAGCTGGCTGAATCTGGAAGTTGTAGAAGCATCAAGCTCTTCTTCTTAGTGAATACATACATCTTCACTGCTTCAGAAATGAGGAATGGTCATATTAGTAACAGAAAAGACAAAACCAAAAGCCTAAAAAACTTTAACAGAAAAATGGATACTTAGTTATTTATATATGAAAATTAAAAGTAGGAACCAGGCATGGTAGAAGTTGTTTTTAATTCCAGCTCTTGGTAGGCAGAAGCACAAAGATGCTTGTGAGTTTCAGGCCAGCCTGGTCTGCATAGTGAGTTCCAGTCTAGTCATGGCTACCGAGTGAGACCCTGTCTCACAAAAACTAAGTCTAGGTGCTCTGTAAATATAAAATATAATAAGTCTAAATAGAATATTTTAAAAATCAATGTATTTTGCAAAAAATAATACTGTTTATTATATAGATATGTATAGCCACGAAGTAAAACCACAAAACTATAGGCAAAAGAATATACCCATTTTAGAAATAAACCTCAATAAGCAATGGGATGAAACAAGCCTCTATCAGAGAGCTGTGAGATAAAGACAATGAGCCAGGTATTGGAATGTCAAGTCTGATGATGGGACTGTGGGGTTTGACAGCTATTTGCTGCATTTTGGCTGCATTTCGCTAAACAGTGCACCCCTTACATCTCTGCTAGCTCACCTGAGCTGCGCCCAAGCTTCTCCTTAAGAACATAATGCATGTAAATACAAAAGCACACTCCAAAGTGGCGTTTACAATTTTATAATTCTAAAGAGCGAGGTCCAATAGGAAGGCTGAGGCACAGAACTCTTCTGTAGTCTGAACCATGAATGGACAGGAAAGCAGCTTTCTGGAAAAGCCTGGGGTTGCTTCAGCCCGTTCCAGTGTGGAGGACTTGTGGTTGAATCACTCTGTGATTAACACTAATGTGCATCCATCCCAACAGTGAGCTAGAACCCACCTCCATGTCCACTGACTGGCCTATGCCATTCCTCAACACACAACAGCTCCTCTCTTTTATAAGATAACTCCATAGATAACCACCCCCCAAAAAGCTGTGTGCTGTGTTCCCTAGGAAATACATATTATCCCCCTAGCAACTATTCCTCACCCTTCTACACAGCAAACATCTTTACTTAACCAGAATTTGCTGGATATCTCTTAGTTTACAAATGCGGGTGGGGAGCCGATCCCAGCACGTCTATCATCAGACACGTGTGTGACCAGAGACACCGCACTGGGAATGGGGCCATCACATGGCTTCCATACCATAAGCAGTCAAATAAAATTCTCAGGGTTTTTCAAATCAGACCACTCCCAGCTAATCATATCCGAACAACTGACAGGTAAGCCTCATGCTCTCACATATTTCAGCTTAAAATGTAAACATTAATTAGCAAAGTAAAACACCCATATTATACATTGACAAATTTTATCAAAACAGGCAACTAAAGCACATTCATTCAAGTGGTGACAGCGATGAAAATGCATATTCCACAGGAGTCATTTAGCAATATTTATCAAATTTCAGTGCATGGGCTTTGATCTAGGGCGACTGTCTTTCCAGACCACTGCTCATATTAGAAGGGCATGTGTCAAGCAGCTCTTTCATTCAGTTTTCCACTAAGAAATTCCTAGTTTCTTTTTCTAGGACTGTGTGTATTAACTGTCTGACTGATTTTTAACAATGCACATATAATTCCCACTCAGAATTCAAGCTTAAGCTTTTTCTTTTCCTTTCTTTTTTTTTGAGACAAGGTTTCTCTGTAGCTTTGGAGCCTGTCCTGCAACTTGATCTTGAAGACCAGATTGGTCACAAACTCACAGAGATCCACCTGCCTCTGCCTCCCGAGTGCTGGGGTTAAAGGCATGCACCACCACCACCTCAAGCTGTCCTTTCCTTTCTGGTTTTGAATCTTTCCTGAGTGTGACCAGCAAAGCTACACTCATTTAAGTGCCGGATAACACTGAGGGGATGAGCAGCAAGCAAGCTTGACATTCAAGTTTCTGCAAACGCCCTCTAGCCACCTAGTACTCATTTTCTCTGTACCATCGCCTGGAACATATTGTTTCCATTGTAAGAAACTTTCTCAACCACTTTAGAGAGGCCAATTTAAATGTCCAAAAGGCTTTCCCATACACAATAGCTAACTTATTGAGTTTGGTAACGCCTGATTAATATATTTACGTCTCAGATCAAGTTATTAAGCTGTAATGACCAGATTCCATTCTAAAAACTAAGATATTTGGGGCTAGAGATGGGCTCAGAGGCTAAAAGTACTTACTGCTCTCGCAGAGGACTCAGTTTCTGGTCCCACACCCCACCGGGTGATTCATAATCACTTCTAATTCCAGATCCAAGTGCTCTGATGCCCTCTGTCCTCGGAAGGCTTCTTACACATGCCATACACCCCAGACACAGGTTAAAGAGAATCATGGTTTGGAATGTGCATCTTACAGGCATTAGAAACCATGGGGTAAAGAGTCTGGTGTGGACTATTCCTTTACACTGTGTGAATACGTCACCATGATGGGCTGAATAAAGAAGCTAACTGGTCAATAGCTGGACAAGATGAAGTGAGGGGGAAAGCGAAACAGAGACTGCTGGGAAGAAGAAGGGCCAAGTCAGAAGAGTTAAACTTTCAAAGAAAGACCTGAGGTTGCAGTAAATGCTTCCCAACTTTGCCCACCGGATTAGACCGCATTTGCTTCTCAAACTACACAAAGTGCTGTGGCACCCAGCTCTCAAAGATGTCTCAATAGCCCCACCCCTATCCTCTAGGGATCAAGGTTCCAAAATTCCCAGTCTGTGGCCCATACACTGTCTCAGAGCAGCAGTGTCGCCATGCTCTGGACTAAGGACATTCACCTGGGTTTAGATCAGTGGTCTTCCCTTCCAGATGAACATCAGAAGCACCACAGAACCACGGGTTCTGAGTCAGTGGATCTGGATTAGGTGCTGGATCCCTCTACGTGTTAAAGGGTCTCAGAGAGGGCTCTGATACACAGCCAGGTAAGGCATCTGTGATTGGTCAAAGCCCACTTCCTCATCAAGACAGGGCTCTCACTGTTCTAACACCCTGGCTACTCTGACTGCTCCTGCCATCTCTATCTTGCTGTTCTTCCACTGTTCCTCTCAAGTAAGTCCCATGCAACTCCTCTCAGACTCCTCCAGACACTCACATGCTCCACCTTGACCTTCGGCTTAACCCTCAGTGTGGGAAACCCTGTGGTCCTGGCTCTTCTGTTCTACCTCCCACTGTGGCCACTTAAGTTTCTCCTTTTTCTATCCCTTTTATCTCCATCGCCACAGTGCTTCACTCTATTAGGTGACTTCACTTATTTTGCCATGGAAACTGGAAGGATTAAAGAGTCTGTAGGCTAGCCAGGCTTTCGTCTCTACGTAAGTCTAACTGGACACATGTCTACCTCTTCTCTGACACATGGTCACTGAATCTTATCCCACCATGCTTAATCTATCAACTGCCCATCCCCCTTATCCTGTTTTCTCACCTCTCCTTTTCTAGAAGTCTCTTCCAATTATAATGTTAGCCATTAAAGAAATAACAATAATAAACACTAATGAAACACTACGCTTCTCCCTATCCACTCCTTATTCCCTCTCCACCTCCCAGTGCCAAGCTCCCTAAGGGACTTGCCAACCTTCACTCATCTACACGACACGACAGCCGACATTACTCTCCCTCTCGTCACGGTTTGCTGCTAACCCCAAGGACATGCCCAGTATGCATGTTCCCTGGCACTTCTCCAGGATGCAACCCTGCAGCTTCTCCCTCTGGTTCCATTAGCTTCTGCAGCTCCACACTCTGCTGCTTTCCTTGGGTTTTCTTTCCTTAGCTCATCCTCTCCAGAGCTTGGTCCTTTTTTTTTCTTTCTTTCTTTTTCTTTTTCCTTGGTTTTTTTCAAGACAGTATTTTTATGTGTAGCCCAGGCTGTCCTGGAACTAACTTTATACACTAGGCTGCCTTCAGATTCACAAAGATCCACCTGCCTCTGCCTCCCATGTGCTGAGATTAAAGGCGTGCACCACCACCGCCTGGCTTTTAAAAAATATTATTTATTTAAGTGTACATGTGTGTATGTCTGTATATATGATATACCTGAGGTTAGGGTCATCCCCTGGGGCTGGAGTTACAAGCAGTTGTAAGCTTCCTGGTGTGGGTGCTGAAAATTGAACTCGGGTCCTCTGCAAGAACACTATAGGCTCTTAACCACTGAGCTATCTTTCCAGCCCCTGGTCTTCTTCTCTTAATGTATACACCCAGACTCTGGTCATCTTATCACTCCTGGTTGCTAACACCCCGTATCTTCTAGCCTTCATCATTAGTCTAGGTCAATTTTCTGATGCAAGCAAAAGTGTTTCCTCAGATGTTCCTGGTAGGAACTACTTTAAAGCTTTTCCTACAGTATTGCCTGGTGAATTATCATTCTAAACACTCTGTCTCTCTACCCCATCCCCAAGTTTTAGACGTTCCAACATTTCAGAAAAAAACAAAACAATAAACACAACCAGTTTAGCTTACAAAGGGCTGCATGAAAGACACTGCTAATTTTAATTTATGGCTGGACAATCTGACTCAGAGCTATGGAGGGAAGGTGCACAGTCAGTGGCACTATCAGTTCCTATATCCTGGCTTCTTGGCTAGGTTTCTAATGCTACTCACCCTAAGGTTCTTCTATTTGAAAATCTCTGAATTTGCTGTGTTCCAATTTTTAGATAAATTTTGGTCCATGATGCATCCATGTCTAAGATGCTCTCTTCCCCCTAGCCCATGTCTAGCATATATAACACCAGTTTAGGAAGTTCTTCTTAGTACTCACATTCACTACACATACCCTCCTTTAGGGCAAGGGTGAATCGACACCCTCACTTTGTGTTCCCATAACCTATGCTCACCCATACACCTTGGGTCAGCAGTGGCCTGGTTCTTTGACCTACAGACCTATACACCATCAAATCCCAAGAACCTAGAATACTGCCTATCACAAAGTGAGGGCTAAGACTACCTGCTGAGAAGAGGAAGGAGGGAAGTAAGAAAGGAATTATAATATGCAGCAGGGTGGACTCACTCAGGGCCTGGCTATCCAGATGAGTCACAGCTCGCAGGCCAATGAGACCGGTGAGGCTATTTTAGCTCTGCAGGGAGATGTCAGAGTGACAGGCTGCCTATCCCACAAGCCTCAGTACTTTGCACTGTCATGGCAGGTGTCTGTGGGCTGACATTAAGGAAGATCACAAAGGGTATAAACCAAAGAAAATGTCTACTAGATTCTTGTATTAAATGGGATAGGACTCAGCACTATATTTTTATGCTTTTACTGAGAGCTCGGAAGTATGAAGGAGACCAATATGAACTCCAGTTCAGAGGCTTGAATTAAGAATAATAATAACAGGGGCTGTAGAGATGCTCAGCAGTTAAGAGTATTTGTTGCTCTTACAGAGGACCTGCTTCAGGTCCCAGAACTCACATGGCAGCTCACAACCACCTATAGCTCCAGTTCCAGGGGATCAGACCCCCTCTTCTGATATTCATGGCACTAGGTATACATGTGGGGCACATATGTACAAGCAGGCAAAAACCCATACACACAAAATAAATAAATCTAATTTTTTAAAGAATAAATAAGCTTCACCAGCTCACCTTAGAAAAATTAGTTTAATTATTGAAAGAATAAAATCATAGGGAGCAGAGGCATCTATTTTCCCCCAAATAAACTGAATAAAACCTTCTAAATTTAGGTAAATTCAGTGACTGTCAGAAATATAAGGTTTTTGGTTGAATACTCAAGATTATAAAAAGCACAGGCTGAAGAGCATAGGCACTGTTACCATAACTTCTTACACGGATAACTGGAACAAACTGAGGCCCAGAGAGTTGGGACCCCATGGGGGAATTCCACATACCATTACTGTGATGGTTAGCTTTGATTGAGGACTTTGCACAATGTAGAGCCACCTGGGGATGGAGTGTCAGTGAGGAACAGTTTAGGTTAGGTTGATTTGTGAGCATGCCTTTGAGGAATTATCTTGATTAACTGGAATGGCCCATTGTGGGTGGCACCATTCCCTAGACAGGAAAATTCGGTTAGGAGTAGAGAAAGCGACCTGAGCATTAGCAAGCAGTCATTAATGCAGGACTTGAGTGTGGAGGTAACGTGACTAGTTGCTTCAATATTCTTACCTTCCTCACCACCTTGACTTCCCTGAAATGATGGACTGTAACCTGGAATTGTGAGCCAAATAAACTCTTTCTCCCTTAAGTTGTTTTGGTCAGGATATTTTACCATAACAACAGGAAACAAAACTGTAAAAATCACCAAAGGAAAGTCAGTCTAATTCTCAAGTATATGCAAATGAAATGGGGGACAGGCTGGGAATGGTCTTAAATACTTTCCAATAATAAAGCAAGGATCATGCATGGTTAGTCTGTTTTGGGCACATGTTTATTTGTTTGATGTGTTTTTGAAACAGGGCCTTACCATAAAGCAGGGCAAGCTGGCCTCAGACTTGCTCTGCAGCCCTTGAACTCACAATCCTCCCGCTTTAGCTTTCTGTGATCTGAGCTAGTAGATGTGAGCCTCCTCATCTGGCTTGTGCAGCAAACACCAGCACATGTTAGACAGGATCACAAGCACACAGGGATTATTATGGTAGAATTCTACTTCTGTGTTAATATGAAATTTTTCTGAATAAATCATTAAAACTTTGTAATAAACTGGGTGGCGTACACCTTTAATCCCAGCACTGAGGAGGCAGAGGCAGGTGGATCTCTGTGAATTTGAGGCCAGCCTGGTCTACAGAGTGAGTTCCAGAACATGTTCCAAAGCTACAGAGAAACCCTGTCTCAAAAAAACCAAACCAAACTAAACAAACAAAAAACCCAAAAAATTATAATAAAAATACCAGAAATCAAATCTCGTCTACAAATTTTTTATTTAATATATTTCAGAGAACCACTTATTTAAGTATTATTTATTACAAAAGTACAACATAACAGGTTAATTTGAGTAACAAGTTTTAGGTAATGAGCTTTATTTTTAGGTTAAAGGCACACAGAGAAAACTAACAGTCATTTCTAACTTAGATTTAGTAATGAATAGAGATTGTTAAACCCACAGCACAAACTCCAAGTGAAGCAAGAAATAGAAATTAGAAGGTAAATTTTAAAGTGTTCTTTCAAACAAAATAAGCAACGAGCTACAGGAAGGATAGTGTCAACTGACTGTTTGCTTTTTAAGTCAGCATTTTCAGAGATTTCTAATGTAATCTAAAGCGCTGAGGCAAGCAACCTTGCAAAGCTAAAGAGATCCATCTCAACCAGGATGCAGTTTTGGACCTAGCAAAGATAGAGCTTCTCCCACTGTGCTGACTGAATGTATCACAAAGAAGACCTTGCCTACTCTCTGAGGATAGAGATGAGAGCAAAGGCCAGCAAGAGGCTGGAGAAATGGCTCAGTAGTTGAGAGCACTCAGTGCTCTTGTAGGACCCACACAGTGGCTCACAACTTCTGTAAACTGCAGTATCCAGGGACAGAATGCCCTCTCTGAACTCCTCAGGCACCACGTATGCACATGGTGCACAAACACACAGGAAAAACAGTCATACTCGTGAAATAAAATCAATGTAAAAAAAAAATTAAGGCATGGCAAGAGAAGAACAGCTTGTCTGTGGCTGAAAATGAAGCCAGCTAAGCTCTGTGTGGAGCCATCCCTACAGTCTGGAAGAGTGGGACAAGGAGGGAAGAGGGACAAGGAACCCACTCACCTGCAAAAGAACTCCCATAAGTCTAAGTTTTGAATCCTTTGAATCCTTTTAATTCGGTTCCGATCCATTGTTTTACCAAAGAGACTGGCAACTTCGTTATATTCATGTGTTTGGTTCTGCAGGGAGACCAGCTGGGAGAAGAAGTTTGCAGAGTTTAGCAGTGGCCTTCCCATCTCCCCCCCCCCCCCCTGCCCCGGGGATGGCTGCCGGCCTGTGCTACAGTCATCTGCTCTCACCTGGTAGGGAACTTCCGTATTCACGTTCTCCCAGTGTGTTGGCATGGGGATGGCCTCATTTTCACAGATGTAACTTCAAACAGCAAAAGACAGAGCAGAGTATCAGAAGCAGATTATAATTAGTGTCAGTGGTTTAGCCTTTTCTCCATAGCTGAGTTTTCTGTTTGCAAAGTACTTACAACAAACACAATAAAGTTTAACCTTTGGCTTCACTTAGAAATATTTACTGAAAGTCTACTTTCCTAACTTTTAAATGCTGAATTATAAACTTTGATAGGACTATACAAATCTACATAGCTTCAACACTTCAGAAACCACTCACTAATTCAATTTCTTTTGTTGCAATTTCTATGAAATGTGAAGAAAATTTTAGTCAAAGAAAGGAATTTCTAAGAAAAAGTAGGCTGATTTTTTTTTAAACCCAAAGCATCTATTGATATTTGCACTGAATGAAACTGCAAACTCTACCAGTCACTGCTGTTTTCCAAGATGGCTTAGTGATCCCCACCCTCTGTCTTCTATGACCTAACTCAGCCCTCTTCTCTGCCTTGTTTTCGTAGACATTGCACCCTGACTTGCTCGGTGCAGTCACATTTGGTAGCAAATCAAGACACAGAACATAAACAGCAAAACACTAAAACAGGCACAATAACCTTCCTTGGAAATTAACAACCTTAAAACCTATCCTTAGCTCAAAAAACCAATATAATGTATAATTCTTAAAAGATTTTTATTTGTATGGGTATGCATCTGTGTGCAAGTGTGCTACATATGTGCAGGTGGCTGCAGAAGGAGAAGAGGGCATCCAATGCCCTGGAGCTGGAGTCGCAGTCAATTGTGAGCTGCCTACGTGGGTGCTGGAAACCACTCAGGAAGGTCTGCACTGCACCAGCAAGTACCGAGTGGGCACCTTTCCTCCTGCTGCAGTCAGGGTTCTGGTCAGCTCTGACTCTTCACTCCTTCTCACAGCCATCTCTACACCCAGATGTCCTTTAGAGCTCCCTTAGGTTTAGAAAGCCAAGTTTTGCTCAACACAAATGGCAACACAAAGCACACATTTTTGCCCCTATGTTGTTTTGGTAATTTAATCAAGTCTTACTATGATCTTTATCAAAATGTATGCAATCTCCTCATTCCCAGGGTCAGGAATCCCAGCACATGGCAGACACTCAGCTAACATGCAACAAACGAATGCCTCCTCTGCTACACACACACAATTCCATCATCTGTGCATGGACAGGGGAGCAAAAAATAATGTGTAGCCCAGGCACAGGGAGTGGGAAGCTGAAGTGTTTCCACTGTGGGGCATCTTCCTTAGGCCTCCTTTAGTCACTATGGGTTTGACATGTCACCTAGGGACTGCCCAGTGGGGCTCTGCATTGGTGTAGGAGCAAAGTGGGCAGTTCCCTAGGATTCTGGACCCAAAACAGAGACAGAACCATAATTTATTTAAATGCTTGCTTCTGGTGATACTTAGCTTGCTTCCAGCAACCTCTTCAGAGTCATGCTCTTCCATTTTTGAATTTCAGTCAGTCTTGCTAACAAAGGAGTCTGGCATAAATTGATATTTTTCTTCATCATGTGTGTGATTGTAGGAATATTCAAATTGTTTGAGGAGAGCTCTAGAAGAACTTCAAATACTATAGGAATTATTATTTAAGTTAACTTCAACCCTGACTTGTACCCCCCCACACTTTGTCCAATGTATCTTTCATCTATGGGGGAAAGGTTCAAAGAACTTGTATGGACCCACGGCCTTGACAGAACGCACACTGGCCAGGCTTGTGATGAGTGCCCAGTGCTGCCCTACATCTAACCTTTCTGCATCAGCACCTCCCGACTTTCATCCCCTTAGCTTTCACACTTAACTCCTCCCCTTTCATTACAGCCTCAATTGCTTACTCCCCCTGCTCCTTCTGTTTTTGTTGTACAGTTTGTATAGCCTGGGACAGAAGAAAATGCTTGACCCCAGCATGGACTTCCCACCAGCTTCAAAGGGATACCAGCTATACCAACACACAGATGTGAAACTCTTCCTACTACTCATTCCCCCCGATTACACTCTTAGGAGATAAGAACTGCATTCTATTCCTGGCACTGTGGAATGCATACATGATGTAGGAAGTAAGAACATAGTCTGTGTCCCACAGATGTAGGAAAGCCTTTATTATCTTTTAAGTCGTGATATTAAAATATCAGCAAATACCTTGAGAAAGGAAACTAAAAGCATTTCTCTCCTTGCTTGTTCCTTCAGTTCCTTTCTCTGCTCTACTTTCTCAGGCGCTCTTTGGAAGGCGCATGAGGGCATTCCTTACAATTCACACACTGCCATTTCGTTTCCCAGCTGGATCTTAAATTCTCTGAAGAGAAAGAACTCAGCATTTGCTTGAGGAACCATCTAGAAAATGGGTCTTAAAGTGCTCCACCTGTTTTCCATTCCCATGCGCAACAGATGTTTATTTACCTTTGCAAATAACAATCCTTTTTAAAGTCTATATACGGCAAAAGTAAGCAAAAGGAAAATGGATCCAGGGAAGATGCACTGCTGTCCCTCTAGTTCATGTGGACTGGCGTTGTACCTCAGAGCTGCCCAATGGGGAGCTACACCAGTGCAGAGGCAGACCACGTGGGCAGTTCTCTAGGATTCATGGTCAAATATCTGGAATGGTCTCTGACAGTATGTCCAGTTCAAATTCAAACTTAAGTTCAATAGGCCATTTTAAGGGTTTGAAACAAAAACCACATGATATTTTGTAATTATCATGCACACTGGTCTAAGAATTGAAAAAAATATATACATATGACAAGAGAGAATGAAAGGAAACAATGGCAGAAGACAGTGATTATTTAATCAGCAAATAAGAGGTTTAATGTTGTAAAAATCGCTATTAATTCATGAGATGGATGTTAGTCTATCTGGTTTTCTGCCAAAGAGTAAGAAAGCGGAGAGAGGGCGCCCACCCTCGTGCTGCCCCATTTACCTGAAGGCGCTGATGGAGAAAGGAGCCCTTTTCACTAGGCGTTGTTTTCCAGTGACGAGGTTCATCTGCTTCATTTCTGAGCACAAAGAGACAGAGCAGATGAGCCACAGAAGCGCACTGTGCTCCGAGGTCTCATGCACATTAGGAGCCACAGTACAGGGCAGTCATGTGGCTCTGGGAGGAGATGACGGCCAGGTAGTTATGCTCTTTCACCATCGACCTATTTGCCATGTTGTAAAGGTGCCAGTGCAGGGGCCCTGCTTCAGTGCCTGATCTAAGGCCACACCCAGATGCCCATCTCACACCTGCTCCGCACACATCACACCTCAGTTAAACTGACACTAAAATACACGACCAGAGCACAGAATGACACCGTCCTAAATCTTCCATTGGATTTGTTTACATGGAGAAATGCACTCTGGGCTCCCTAAGAATTTGGAAATCAGAAAGGGATACATCCCATACATTTGCACAGCTCACATAATTTCAAAAATGTGTTTCTTTAGTCATCTTTTAGCTGCACATCTAAACCAAAGAAAAAGGAAAAGAAAACCCAGCCAGAGACAACACATATTTACACACAGATTCCCGGTGAAGGGGCCACTATCTAGTTAGCATCTTCTGCTGCACCGCGGCCTTGGCAGTGTTTACCAGGTCCCATTTATCCTCCCATTCAAACAGCAGATTTTAACAAATGTCACTGCACTTGTCAAACGGTGCTCTGCCACTCCTGTATTCTCCTAGACACGGCACACCAGGGAACTGCCACCATTCAGGGAAAAGCAAGATCACCTCAGGACCTGGCACAAAACCTGTGGCGTCATCTTCACAGCTGTCTCCTTTGCGTTTCCTTCCCATGTCGCTCAGAGAGAAGCTGGACAGTGGCAGCATGACTGGGTTAAAGACCCCGACAGTGTGCGGAAAACGCTAGGGGCTGCACCTTAAAGCATCACCATTTATTCGTTTATGCCACGTACCACTGTCATAATTTAGTAACGATAATATATATATCTCATGTAGGCAAAAATGGCCTGAACACATTATGTCGCTGAGGCGGGCCTTGACGTTGTGATCCTCCTATCCACATCCTGGGTGTTGGGACGACAGGCGTGCACTACCACACCTGGTTTATGCTGTGCTGGGGTTTCATGCATACTGGGCAGGTACTCTACCAAGTGAACTACATTCTGAGCATCTACAAAATATTCTGAATTAATCTTTTTTCCTGACAGGAATCTCCCAGAGGGTAGAGTTCACTAGTGAATATTCTTAGTCAGAAGTGGCCTGCTGACTTACCTACCACACACTTCAACAAATGGCATCCCCTTTACAAAGCCTGAAGTTTGTGTAAATCATACTCTGTTCTGCCTCCAAAACTGTGCTTGTATACAACACTAGCACAGAACACAGCAACATCTACCAAACACCTCCTGCTGGAACAGAGCACCAATGTCAGCATGCCCTATGGGAAGCCAGCTTGCCTAATGCTGGTTTTGAAAGTCAGGATTAATTGACAGTAAAAAGAGAATTGTTTTCACTCTTCTTAAATTTAATGTACTCATCTATTCTTTGAATCATTCTTGATAATCAGCAATTACAAGAAAATCAAGTTTGGTAGATGGTATTTTTAGCTCTGTCTACACCGTCCCTGAGAACCCTTTACCACTTCTGGGAAAGCGTTTCAGACTTACACTCCATCCTCAGCACATCAGCACCACCACGGTCAGAAAGACACAACTCAGCAACTGGACAAGAATAGCTAGAAGACCAAAGTGTAGAGTGACTAAAAGTGAGCGGTTATTAAAAAGCTGCCCCATTCAAATCTCCTTTGCCTCAAAGCCATCAACAGTGGGTGACAGCAGCCTGGAACTTACGGAGTGAATCCAACAGTGTTTCCATGAGACACCTGATAACAGGACCCCACATGGTGAGAGGAACCCAAAGAGCCGTGGGTCTAACTGAAGCTGATCTGCACATTAGCTGGGCTCACCTAGGAAGCAGCATCCTTTGAAGAGGCAGCCTTCTAAGCAAACCATCAACAGGAAGGTCACCTGGCTTCACTTTGGTCTTGAAACAACCACCAGCTACCAGTGACTTCCTCATCATTTAATATCAGTTTGCTGTTTAAGGTAAAAAGGTTCCCAACTCCAACCAATATCCAGGGACGTAGTGCCGAGTAAAATAAGCGCTGTAAGTTAGGCACAGCAGTCCAGGCCTGCAATCCCAGCTGCTCCAGGGGCTGAGGCAGAAGGATTGTGAGTTCAAGAAAAGTCCAGCAATACAGCGAGACCTCATCTCAAAAATCAAAACATAAAAGAGCTATAAAGAGCATTACATAAACTCAAAACACACAGCAACACCACGTATGTTAACACACATGAGCACAGAACATGCTTTTATAAATGGCAGTGCTGCTCAAGAGTCTAACAGTGCAGATTTACAGAGCTCCTTTTGCATAGAGCAGGAGGATTTACTTCATGCTTTAAGACATCTTGGCTAATCCTGAGCTGCAGATTGCACTGCACCAATGGTCTAGGAGTATTCTAGAAACACACAACTAGGAGGGGAAACATACCTGAAAAGTCTATCTTGTAGCTGAATTTGGAAGTAGTAAAGGAAATGGAGCCACAAGGGTTTGTTTTGAAGCTTTTTTCGATATCTTCACTGCTAACTGAACATTGAATGTTGGTATCCGGCTTTAAGACAAACCAGAAAGTTGCATTTACCAGCTGTTCACAGTAATGGGTTGACCACAGAAGTGGAGCTGAGGTCGCGTGACAGAGAACGGATGAATGAAGGGTTCCTACTGCCTCCTGCTCTACCTCCTCCATACACAGGGAGCACAGCCAAGCCTGCACGTGGAAAACGATTAACAGTGTCCAGGGGAAAACAGCGACTGTTATGACAGGCTCTGCCACAGCCGTCTCACATAGTACCACGAGTTTCACAAATTATCTAATGATTGCACTAAGTGGCTCAAAGTAAACCTTTCACCAGCCTGGTAACCATACAATGGGGAAAAAAAAAAAACCCAAACTACAAGTTCTTGTGTGGGGGTTCAAACCTCAGTTAAACTCTCTTTGCAACTTAGACCAAGTACGTGAACTTTTCTGAGCTCCCCGTCCTTTGACAGAAGATGGAGCAGTGCTATCTGCTTCAGAACTGTTGTGAGGACACACAGGGTGCACACAGCACCTAGCGTCACACCCCGAGCTCCTCTCTCCCTATTTCCACCAAATCAAACCTGGATGTGCTTGTATGTGCCGAGGCCACCACCCAGGTATGCTCCCTGTCTAAGTTCACCATTGCTTCTAAGAGGTTATTGTCGGGGGGAAGAAACAGACTTCTAGCTACACTGGTTTCCATCAGTGCTGGAACCTTCCAGAGCTCCATGAGCAAGAGTCTATACAGTGGCAAGCCCTTGCCTGTCAAGTTTGGGGTGGGGTACCTGGAACATGTGCCACTTCCCACACTCCGCCAGGTAGAACCAGCCCCACTGTGTGTCCGAGGTGTCCATGTCGTCCACATCACTCTCCATCTTCTTGGGAAAGAGTTCCTCTGTCTTGTGAAACATCTTCTGGAGAGCCAGAGAGAGGTGGAGGAGGAAATACCCATTAACGACCAATGTGCTTTCTATGGACCATTCTACTTCATTACCAGGAACCAGATTCCAACGTCTTCCCAGTGACATCTGACAGCTATCTGCACAGTGGCCCTGAAGATAAGCAACTTAAAATGTTAGCGCTGCCTAGCACATCAGGCTGATGATCCTCTTTGGGTGGGAAAGTCAGTGCCCATGAAGCCCCAAGAAGTAATTCAACATTCGCTTGTGAATGTGTCAGGCACCCCTGCATCACAACTACTTAAGATCAGATGTATCTGCTCTTCTATTTCAAATAGTCATCTTATTTAATGGCATAAAACGACATTTCTAAAATATGTGAGGCCTTTAAAAAAAGCTATAACAGTAAAGAATAATATAATAAAGTTTTAGTTAAAATATATCTATACTTTGCTTTCATAAACACATGGATACATGCATGAGCATGTGTACACAGGACAGAAGGTGAGTAGATAATAAGCTGCCATAGTGTCTTTAAGCACTAAGATGCTGAGAGTATAATGACAGCAGTGACACAATCTGGCTCTTACTAGGTGTCACGTGTTGGTCTAAGAACTGTAGGGATAACTTATTCAGGCTTAACAACAACCTATATGAGACAGGTACTCCTGACATAAATTAGGAAACTGAGGCAGAGAGGTCACGCAAGGGGGAAGCTAAGCTCAGGCAGAACGGCCACAGAATCTGTACATGTAGGTCATACGTTATACTGTTTTATGCTTCATGACCAATGGTTTTTATAATGTTGACTAGAGCATCAACTCATATATACCTAACTTTTGAAAAAAATTGATGTTCTTGTGATAAAGTCACCAGAAAAGGGACCACGTGGTTAATTTAACTTCACTTGCAACTTGACTTCCTATCATCATTCTCTAAAGGTTCTTAAATAATTCATTTAAATTTGTACAACTAGTCCAGTCTATGGCCATACCACCCTGAACATGCCTGATCTCCAAAGCTGAGAAGGGTCAGACCTAGTTAGGACTTGGATGGGTGATATCCAGTCTAGACTCCAACAGACAAGCTCTGGGCTCCTTACAAAGGGAATGTAGAAAAAACAAAGCACTTTCTGGGCAGAGCATCGCACGCCTTTAATTCTAGCACTTGGGAGGCAGAGACAGGTGGATCTCTGTGGCCAAGGCCAGCGTGGTCTACACAGTGAGTTCCAGGTCAGTCAGGGTTATACAGAGAGACCCTGCCTCAATATAAATAAATAAATAAATAAATAGACTGAATTTGTCCAACTAGCATATGACTTGCTAAAAAGTCAGAGTACTTATGCTGAAGACTTGTTGGCCCATCACACTTTTATCCTTGGCATTCTTTACCTTCCTTTTCCAGAGTTAACCAATGCTATCACTTTACAATGCATCTCTCAGGGGTGTGGCGCATGTGTGTGTGTGTGTGTGTGTTGTAGAATCTTGTATATACACATCTACACTAGCAATATG